TGGTTTTATTTCGGTGTTATTTTGATGGTTTTTTTAGGGCGTTAATCCTCAATTGAGTGTAACCTTCAATTGATGATCCGAAATCACACCCAAATTTGAGCGTCCTTTTTAAGTGTTAACACCCAAATTTGAGCGTTTTTTTTAGTGTTGAACACTCAAAGTTGAGAGTTTTTTTTCGTAAGGGGTTACCGTTACTAAAAAAGTAATGATAGGATTCGTTACTTTTCCGTCACTTTTTTAATGCTGAAACAAGATCAATCTAAATAATTTAAGACGCAATTTTTTTGTTTTAATATTAATAAAAGCAATACAACAATAACACTAAATCGATATATAAAAATACAACTAGAAAAATGAAGACCTTTTCGATATGAGCTAGAGCTTCCAGCTTTGTGCTTAATATTTTGAAATAATTTTATATCCAATTTTACAAACTACACGCCAATTAAATTTTTGATCTTAAAACGCAATTCAGCTGATATTTTTCACAATACATTTTTTAAAGTATTTTAAGATACATATATAACGTAAAAATCTTATTTAACTACTTATTTAATTTATTAATTGACTTATGGCATTCTTAAGATGTCATAAACCAATTCCAGAGTCATATTAATATTTTAAGACATTATTTAAAACAGTCTTAAAATAAGAGTAAACTATGTAAATATTAACTATAAAAACTAAAGATTAAATATACATATAAAAATAATTTTGTTATAAATGTAAAAAGTTCAAAATACAAAAAGTAACGATAAAAGTAACTGTATAATTTGTTACCGTTACTGAAAAAATGTAACTATACGTTACCGTTACAGTCCCGCAGGTCCCACCAAAAAAATAAAATAACGTTGCCAATCCGTTACTAAAAAAAGTAACTGTAACGGTAACGCCGTTACAAGTAACGAGTTATTTCCAATCCCTAATAATAAATGTAATAATATCCTTACATATTTTGTACCGAAAGGAATCTTCACGAGGTACAGAGAATAATACGTATGTTTAAAATCAAAGTAGAAAAAATAGAAAATTCTAATTTTTTTATTTTAATGTACAGTAAATACAAATACATCAGGAATTACATAAAAAACGATTATAAAAAAACTGAATATGACAACGTAAAGTTATAATTATCATAGACCAAATATTGTACCAGGTGCACAAATCTTTATTTGCCAATCCGACAATTTAAACAGATGTACTGTTTTCTCCACCCAATGATATTTAGACCTAATGGAATTTGTCTTCCAATGAACAATTAGTTTACCGGATGCATCGCTGGAGTGTCCTGTCTTAAATGGTTGTGTTGTAACACAAAGATGTGCCATATGTTTTAAGGCGTTAGCAACTATATCTGCATTCGAAGTTTGCAGATTTTCCTGATATACGTGTGTAAAAATACAAAGTTGCGATAATGGATACAAAGATATAAACGATCTTAAGTATCTCATAAAATACATAGTATCACGTACACTAAGACCAAGATCAAGGAGATGGTTTATATCGTCGATAATAAGGATAACAGATTTAGCAAATCTTGTTGCTTCGTCATGCTTCTCTTTAACGCATGCAAACAATTTATGTGCTATATCTACATGTTCTGTAGAAATGACATCTGGAATTATTGTTTCCGTTCTATTTGTAAAATCCTTGCACATATCAGTGATATTGCTGGCTATAATTTTCATTGGCTCAACAACAGTAACCTGACCCTTTTCTTTTAGATTAAAAAGATTGTAGCCAAGTCTCATGCCAATGTTATGATAGTGACCAAAAGTATTATGACAAAGAACGAGGCAAACAGCAGCATCCATCCTTTTTAATGCATCTGATAAAATGGCATTCACCAAGAAATTTGCGTTGGTACCATGTTGCTCTTCAATTAAGATCATTTTACCATCCATGTTTACCCTATCAAGTCCAAGAATATTGCACACCGCTGCCATTGGGCTAGCCATAATAACTAACTGAAAAGTAAAAGCGCATTATTATTATTATGTTTGATAGAAAACAATATATTCACACATTACTAACGTGACAAATCAGAGTTATATGTCTGAAACGCCTTCTATGTTTTCATAACCTATAAAATGAATGATCGTGTCAAACAGACATAACCTAGATGTCCTAGACCACCTAGCCAAAGAAGCCGGGAGCATGGTAGAAATACAAGGGTATGCTCTTGCGCATGGTAAAGCCAGACAACCAATGAGAATTGCAGCTTGACTACGTCATTATTACGTGGCAAATTCAAACGCTTAAAGATGAAATAAATGATTATAGTAGCGTCGATACATTAAAGAATAAGCGAAACGATTTCACGAGAATGATAAGTAATAAATATTATTGTGTCACATCAGTTTATATATTCCACACATGTAATTTTTGTAAAACAAACAAATGTATTATGTAAGTGAATGAAATTAAGTTAAATAAACTGAAATGAAAGAAATAATGAAATTACAGCACCTGAAAAATTATGAAAGTTTTTGGAAAGGAAAAAAAAACCGTAGTCATATAAAATTATATGTAGAAATTTAATTTAATTATTTACGAATTTAGACACTTTCTTCTTGTTTCTTCTAGTTCTATTTTATAACAATATTTTGCGGTTAATTTCTCGTACTCGAATGTACGTTCGCGTCCTTACCAGGCATAAAATTACCTCTGTAAAATGTTAATACAAACTATATACAATAATTGTTTTCGAGAGAACATACAAAATTTAAACAAGCATGTGCGCCCGCAATACCAAACGTCCAATAAGCGTCCGTCGTCTGGCCGTCTGGCAGCCATTTTATATTTCGAAAAATTACGCATTAGGAAGTAAGGAAATATACTTTCTAATGCGTAATTTTTTGAGAATAAAGCTCCAGCAGACTCGAAAAGTAGATTTAGTACGGACACACACTACAAATTGTGCAGAAATCTTGATTTTGCTATGTTATTTGGATCCACTTCTTTAGAGGGCGATAGTGCGCGAGGGCATTTTTGAAACCGACATCAGAATCTGAGCCGGTTCCGGCTGATGTCGGCAGTCGCGGTCGGGCTCAGTCGGGCTTCTCCGTCCGTCGCGGAACGTGCGCTGCAGATTGTGAAGAAGTGGATGGAGACACGGGGAAGTGAACGGCCCGAGGTTGAGGTATCCCAGATGTCGCAGCGGAGGAAGAGGTGGAATTTGAGATGAGCCCGCGCTTTGAGTTAATAACATCCCATGGAAGAAGATGGAAAGGAAGAGTGAAGGAGAAGATTGTTTTATTATTATTTTTTTATTTTTTTTTATTTTATGTTAACATTTTATTATTTTCTTTGGGTATTTCATATTCAATTTTATGTCAAGCTTATACTGTCAGATCATATAATTATAAGTTTATTTTACATTTATAAGTGAATTGTGAGATTAAGGTACTCGAAGTAATTTATTTAACAGAGCAACGATGACAAAGCATTTGAGTTGATTATATGTCAGATTCTATATTTTAATATATTTTGTATTTTATATGAATGAATGAACGTGTGTGTGTGAAATAAACAAATAACATATAAGGAATGGAATAATTCGTTCCTATAATTAAAGAAAACCTTCACCTGGATGCGAAAATAATAATTAAATATTTGAAATATAAATAAAAGTGATGACAATTCGGGCGGCCAATGTATTAAAATAAAGTTGATCCATGCAGTAGCGTTTATTTGAGTTATAATTTAAAAATACTTAGTTATTTCATAGCTAGAAATCAAAAAATGTTCCGAAGGAAAGTTCAGATTCACAAGTCACGTGATTACCTGTAACAGAAAAATGCGAGATTAATTTATGATTGTAAACCATGAATTTTATTTTATTTATGTGCAAAAATCAGCGTACATAGTTGTTTTGAAGTTTTTTATTAGCGAAGGCGATATCATCCGACCACTGGATAAAGCGATCGTCACGTGATTACCTGCAACAAAGAAACAGTACGTTATTTTGGAAATGTAATCCATAAAATATTATTATTTTAGTTAATTTAAAAGATATACCAAGCGGCGAGAGGCTCCGAGCCAAAGTTGTCATCACACCTATAAACAGAAAGTCAAAGAGTTAAATTACTGCGAAAAATAAGTTAATTTTGAATAGTTTGTATCCGTCTGCACTGTTGCAGCCGTCAACATCCCATGTCACGACTGAGGAGACGTCAGCAGAGAGGGCGGTGCAAGCTTTGGAGGTGGTCCGCAGGTGAATGGAGGATAAAAAAGAAAAGAAATACCACCCGACAGCAATTCCAGAGGTCGCAGCGGAGGAAGAGGTCGAGCCGAACAGCTCGAGGTTCGAGCCGGTGACCCATGGAGGACTGGAGAGAGTATATCGGTGGTGGGGGTAAGAAATTTGTAATCGGAAATGACATCACCAGTCAACCGTCTAACGCACTATTTAGCCGCAAACGGCGCTATAGTAGAAGCTTTTGATTGGCTTTTGATCGAGCATGAAACTATGGAAGACTTATTATTTCACATATTAAGAGGTTACGTGACTCTCGAGTGAGGTTGTTATAATTATATTGAGGCTATTATATTATATAAATATATTTCTATATATATAATTAAAAAATGGTTAGCTGTATTTTGTGTGGTTTTCCTAAAGCAAAAAATTGTGGAGTTACTTTTCATATG